TCTGATCGCATTTACGAGATTTGTTAGGTTCAATGAACTTAAAGAAATCCGCCCCCACAAGTAACTCTGGTTCTTCCCACTTCTGTTGTAACCCGTAAAGTTGAGTTTTCCAAGCTACCTCGTCTGCTTCTTCGTCAGTGATACAAATTATTTGCAATTTATTAGTCAAATAATCGATTGCATTTACATTGAGCACACAGACGTCTTTATCCGTTGTGTCAATCCCTACTTTCGTTTTCCTCACCCGACATGTAAAAGGATGTTTGCTACCGAGTGAAGCTATGTTTAATTCCTTTTCTCTTTCACCTGGAAGACCAAGACGTTCCGCTAATTTGCTTGTAATAAAGGAAAGTTGTGAACTAGCGTCAAAAAATGCTACAGCTTTGATTCTTTTTCTCGGGACTTCTGGATTTATTAGGGTTACTTCTTTGCACAAAAGTAACACATTCTTGTTTTGTGCTCCACATTCGGCTATTGTATTACACGATGTTGTTTGTTAATTTTTTTTCGTTTCTAATTCCGCTGCAGAATTTGTTTTCATTTGTTTTAACTCCCTTCTATGACTGAATGATTCACACCGAGCACTATTATGACTTAATCGGCAATAAAAGCATTGTTTTTTCCTTGCTCTGCATTCTTGAGTAAAATGCCCACTTTTAAAACAATTAAAACTTGCTTTCAACTCACGTAAACGAGTAATCCGCTCTGCTACCGTTGAATAATTTTGACACTGATGATCCCAACGATTTCTTTTGCAGAATACGCAAGATCCTTTTCTATTTTCGCCTGAAGATCCTTCACTTTTAGTTTTTCCTTGCTGGAATTTTGATTCCCGAAGGTTTGATTTAACATTGCGTTCAACTGCTGTTAGTGTTGATGTTTCGTTGAATACTGAGCTTCTGCGTGATTGACTGATTCTTCACTTGTGAATATTCGCTCGCCGTGTTTGAATTCAGTTGGCTGAATTCTGGATACGTCTTCTTTGCCGCCAAGCAGTCATGCAATTTCTAACCACACAGTCCCATTTTCCTTTCGCTGACAAACTTTGTTTAGAGTCCAAACAGGAAGCTTTTCTTCAATAGCTATCTCTATGTTTGGATGCTAGTGATCTCGATCCACCATCCTCCGTCGTCGAACCCGTTGGAATGATAAAAAAAAGAGGGGAGGAGGGGGAAGGAGAGGATGAGCGCCGTCATAACATCTGTCGGCCCAGCACCTTCCTTTGTTGAAGACGAAAGTGCATGAGAAGGACAGTGCCACGCGAAAGGAATTGAAGCATAAAAAGAAGTAAACATCCACATGTTTATCAAAAAAGAAAGATAGCTAGAAAAATACAAATTTTATACAATTTATCGCAAATCGAGATTTAGCAATCTCGACATCACAAGAAGAGCATCAATCACTTTTTTAAAGCAATGCCTTTGCTCCACTGAAAACGGATATGGCTGGTATTATTATGCGCTTTAGCTTATGTGCTATGCAGAAACGCATATTGTGACGACCCCGGTGTGTGTGTATTTGTGTTTGCACCTCTCGAATATTTCAACGCGGCAACAAACAAGCTCTGGCGCCAAAATTTTGCCGATGGATTCTCCGGCCAAGTGGCACCCCAGGACCGTGATACCAACCCTCATGCAAGTTTGGATTCTATTTTGAGATTATGCTCCACGTCCACACAGAAATCAAAGATTCCACTCCACATGCAATTTAAAAATTCCAAACTCAGCTTTCCAGGCACGTGGAGTACCCACGCACGGGCATGCGAAAGTTTTGACAGGAGAACTGCTAACTCGATAACCTGAAAATCTGGAAAGCTGAAATTTCGGGAGAATGTTCCCTGTCCAAGTACAACTCAATTATTTCAAATTCAGCCCTCAGTTGTGTGTGGTACTCACGTAAGGGCGCACGAAAGTTTTTGTGGGAAAATTCCTAACTTGGGAGCCAAAAAAGCTAGAAAACTCAAGGGGAATGTTTCCTGTTTTTAGGGGAATGTCTCCTGTCCAAGTATAACTTAA